GCGGCGTGGTCTCGGGGCTGCTCGCTCTCAGGTGGCACCTGGGGTTGTCCGCCCTGGCGGCGCGCCTGCCTGGCTGGCAAGCTACCGGAGCGCAGCCCAGAAAGGTCTTGCAAGCGCTGGGGCTGAAGGGAGGCGATTTTTTGGGTCGCCCGTTGCCTGCAGCTGAGTGAGTCGGGTGGTGGCTGATGAGCCAGTAGATTACCTGGTGACCTGGCAGGGAGACGGTGCGACGAGACTCGCAGGACGTGGTGGGGTTTCGTTGCAACGCCTCTCAAGGCGATGGCGCTGAACCAGCCGACTGCAGCTCTGCTGCCTTCGCCCGTCAGCCACGCGAGAGGGGCTGCTCCCCAAACCAGGCCTCCTCTGCGGCTTGTGCTGCAGCTGCCTGCCCTTTGCTTGCTGCTGTCCTGGCTCCTGCAGACACGGCGCCCTGCTTGTAGACCGGTTTCTTTCTTGTGCAGTGCTGTTGAACTCACAGAGGACGCGTTCGTCTCTCCATGTTGTATGCAGCCTGGTAGCGTTGCAGGAGGCCAAACTCTCAGCTGTCTGAAGGCTCGGTTGTTATTTGTCTGATCACAGACTGCTTTTTCTTTTGTCTACTGGGAGAAAAGGGTGCCAACCTAGCACAGTGTAAGCTCACGTCTGAGCATCATCTGTGCCTTGTGTGGTACCCAAGAGATGTATCCTGAGGAACAGCTCTCTTAGGTGGGAGGTGCGCGGAGTTTTCTGCTGCTCAGGGATGAAGGCTCTGGCTTTTCTGAGCTTGCGGAGAGATTTGCTTAGGAGTTTGCGCTCCACAGCACTCAGATTCGATACATCGTGTAATAGCAGAGAGGTGCGTTTTGGGTCATTTCTACCATCAAGCAGTGGCAGGAAGTAACACAGCAGCCCAGGAGGCACGTGCTGGAAAGTCAGGGGCACTCGTGAATTTGGTTTCTGCTTCTCTTTCTCTGTAGGCGTTAATCAGCCTGCTCCAGATAGCTAACAGCAGCATTAGAGGGGGTATCGAAAGAAATGAATCTGTCGCTCCCCTCTGTTAGCATGGAGAGGAACGTTTCCTGGCTGGAGCCAGAGTGAGCTCTGTCAGAGCTAAGCTCCCTGCTTCTCCCAGCAGCCTCTGTTCGTTACTGCCTCTCTGGAAATGCTTGAAGGATTGTGAGATAACAATTTCCTGCAGTTGTCTCTGTAATCTCCCCAGGCAGGGGAAACCAGGAGCTGAAAAGCACAGGCTGTTGTTGAGCGCTGCGGAAGTGGCTTTGGTTGGGTAGAGAGGGGCTGGTGGAGAGGTTTGGGGTGTGGCAGGGGGGGACTTGGCTGCGCAGCCCACGCCCTGCAACGTGGCAGGAACAGCGGTGGGCAGCGCAGAGCGAGAACTGCGTGCGTTGGTCGGTGCAGTAGCGGTGTGACTTGAAGACCCAAACGGCGAGGAGTTGAGCAAGGTGCATTGACGGTTGGGGGCTGTGAGGGATGCTGGGTGCATCGCTGGGATGTTGCAGGTTGACTCAGGTTGTGTGAACAAAGCTAAGAGGAGACTTGTTGCCATTTCCCATAACGAAGCGGGTGCTAGCAGCTCAGCTATTGTGCAATGGATTTGTCGTCTCCTACGAGCAAGTTGATGGTGATAACCTGGTAACGCTTCCCTCACTGTGGGAGCTGGTACAGAGTGTTTGACACCCCTCTCTTCCTTTCTTCCCTCCATCCCACAGACCTTGCATCTGAGCCTTGAGCTTTCTGGCTTAGGATACTTGCAACTTGTACAGCAGTAATTACACTCTCCATCACTTTTCCATCAAGAAATAAATGGCAGCCAATCATATCCTGAAGTACCAGCACTGACCTTTGTTTCCGAAGGTTCGGCACAGTCAGTTGAGCTATAATCTTGCCCTAAATTGACCCGAGACCTTGCTGTTCCCTCAAGCTTATGTGCTGCTAATGTGGGGTTGTTGCCACTACTTAAAAGTTTGACAGGGAAAGCACAAGTGCTATGGGGAGCAGTCTTCTGTTGGAGAAGGCCTCTGCGTGAGGAGAAGCTCAGGGAGCTTTTGGAGCGGAGGGGGTGACGTGCTAACTGCAGCAGATGGTACTTGCCCTTGTGCTTTAAGTAGTTACTGGGTTAGAAAATAGGAAGGTGTCGGGGTCCCCTGAGGTCAGACATTTAAAGTTCATTAAACCTTTTCTCCTCTGTGGCCCAGCAGAGCCTGTATCTCCCTGAAATGTCATCTTCCCCCTATGTGGTTAGATATCTTTCTTGTCCTTAAGGTGTGATGTTTGACTTGGCTTTAAAAGAGTACATACTTCCTTCCCTCAGTCCTGCATAGCTAAATGATGGAAGCCCTGAATAGGGGTTGGATCTGCCAGGATGAGGCTAGGGAATGGCCAGCAGATCTGTCCAATTCCTTCCTACTATTTGTTATTAGGGGCAGAGCTGCTTGAAGTGTGCCTCAGGCCCTGACGAGTTGTATTGGCCCTTGAGCTAACCAGCCTGCTTTTAATGGCAGTGATTGGCATGTTCCAGTTCCCCTAACTGGCCAGGGAGCCCTCTGGGAATGTGATCACTGTCCCCAGTTTGTTTCTCACCCTGTCACCTGAAGCATTTAAAGCTAGCTGGGGAAAAGTTTATTTCAAGACTATAGGCTTCAGGAGGCCATCTCATAGTGTCCAGGGCAGGCCGCCTCAGTCTTGGACAACGTTGTGAAGGAGGGTGGTCGCTGCCGCCAGTGATTCTGAATGTCCCTTAGGGGAACTACTACGTCTGTGGTGAAACATCTGTCTCCTTCCTTCCAAAATGGTTCTTGCTGTGAGTCACTGAAGAGGGCGGTTGGGGAGTGAAAGGTGTCTTGTGTACCCGTGTTGTTGGTAAG